TGACTGACCTGTGGTGACTGACCTGTGGTGACTGACTTGTGGTGACCTCTGGTGACTGACCTGTGGTGACTGACCTGTGGTGACCTGTGATGATTGACCTGTGGTGACTGACCTCTGATGATTGACCTGTGGTGACCTGTGATGACTGACCTGTGGTGACTGACCTGTGATGACTGACCTGTGGTGACTGACCTGCGGTGACTGAACTCTGATGATTGACCTCTGGTGACCTGTGGTGACTGACCTCTGGTGAATGACCTGTGGTGACCTCTGATAATTCTGACCTCTGAGGTCTATATTTTTCATCGTATTTTACTTTACATTCATTTCACACCCCACTCTATTATTCTGTGTTGTCTTTTTGCTTTTGTTCACCCCTTTGTTGAATGTTCATGCTGCTGAATTTCCGTCTGGGGACGAATAAAGTCAGTCTAAGTCTAAGTCTAAGTCGGAATTATTATATTAAAATCAGAGCTGAAATCCAGAAACAGGATCCTAGCGTAGGTTCCTGCCTTGTCCAGATGCTGGAGGATGGCGTTTAGAGCTTCGCTGACAGCACTGTCTCCAGACCTGTTGGCTCTGTCGGCGAACTGCAGGGTCCAGGAGCAGGTCAGTGATGGATTAAAGCTGGGACAACACAAGACGCTCAGATGACTTCATCACCACAGAGGTCTGTCGTCATTCAGTTCAGTGGTCCTGATTTCTTTGGGAAGGGAATGATGGTGGAGGTCTTGAAACAGACTGGTCTGTGGCACATCTCCAGTGAGGTGTTGAAAATATCAGTAAACACTGAAGACAGCTGGTCCAGTGCTTCAAGGTGGATGGAGACACAAAATCCAGCCCGGCTGCTCTGTGAGGGTTCTGTTCCTGTTGACATCTGTCTCCAGGATGGTGAGAGGAGTCTCTGTGGTGGTGGGGGACCGGGGTTTGGACTCTCATGTTGTGGAGGGGTCAAGACTCCTGATGAAGGGCAGCTAATGGGCTGGAGCTGGGGATGGGTTGTGAACACAAGCGGTAGACGTCTCTGGTCCGGTCACAGATGTACTGAATGAGTCCCAGGACACACGGAAGTTCTGCACAAACTGTTGAAGTCCGGTCCAACTGTGTCCCAGCAGCAGCACCACAGTGGTGGAGAACAGGACTGTTAGAACGTCGGTATTTAGCTTAGAAATGAGGTGTTCTGGTGACAAACGGACCTCAGCTACACACTGTTTGTTCTGCTCATAGAGAAGACCTCATGAGAACACATCACTGGGCTTCATGCTGGACAGATGTGACACCAGAACCTCCTGGTTCACTCTGTCAAAGTCATCTCTGGTCTCACACCGGTCTGAGCACCGCGGCCACCAGCAGCAGCTAGCGCAGCCTGCTATGTGGGGCGTTCAGGGAACATCGTAAACTGTAGCGTCTATGGATAAGAACATGTTCAGCAGGTCAGATGTTTCTCCTGTGACCAGGTGGGAAGTGAGACCAGATGAGAAAGTGGGTCACACTGGTACCAAAGTCCGTCTGGACTCCTGTGTGGACTTCTGTGTGGTGCCAGCGTTGTTCAGTAAACGGCTCCGTATGCAGTGACGTACGGTTCTGACTGGGCTCCTGGCTGATGGAGAAGCAACCAGGTTCTGAGGAGGTGCCAGATGTGACCCAACTGAGCCCTGGAACCAGCACCTGGTTCTTCTGGGTGGACAAGGGGTACGAGGGGCAGAGTCTCTGTCTCAGGAATGGTGTTGAAGCTTCTCAGAGTTCTTTAGTTTCATTTAGCACCTTCATAAATCTCGACTTCAGCTCCTTAAACCTGCTTTTGTCTCTGAAACGCCTCTTCCTTCTCCAACCTCAATTAACTGAGTGTAGCTGTGAACCAGATGTTGGTCCTCATAACTCCCTGTGATGCACCATGGTCCACAGCGGTCCTAACAAAGGCTGATACATCACAGCACAGTTTCCGTGTGCTCATCCACACAGTCAGTCCAGTCCTGAACACACCCCAGTCAATCCAGTCCTGAACACAGCTGTAGGTCCTCCACAGCCTCGCTGAGCCACTGCTCCGATGTTCTCAGGTATCCACTCATTGTACACTGTGCCTCCTGCCTGCATGTTGGCCTGTAAACGCCAAGCGGTATGAACGAAACACTGTCATGCATGGAGTAGAAATGATTGCAGTTGAACAAACAGGATGCCAGATGTGGAGAGCAGTGGTCCTGAATCACTGTCACATGTTTACACCAGTCGGTAACGAAACATAACTTTCACTGGACAGCTCCATGTGGCGGTCCGTTCTGAGTTCTGTCATCAGTTACTGCAAACGCTTAGACAGCGAAGAGACCAAACATTCGTTTGAACAGAGTCAGACAAGGAGTTGTGAAGTGACATTTACCTGAACCCAGGTGACGTGAGCTGTTTTCTGTGCGTGGAGCATTTTGGTGTGACAGTCGATCATCTGCCTGTGAAGTGAAAGTTCAGCTCCTGACTGATGCTCCACTGAAGGCAGCTCTCTGACCTTCTCTCTCTACAGGGCTCTCCAGTTGGAATCCCCCCCCTCCTCTTCCTCTTCCTCCCCCCTCTCTCCCCCCTCCACCCCCCCCTCCCTCACAGCCGCAGGACCCGCCCACACAGAACACCTGCCACCTGACCACAACAGGTAACACAGTCAGGAGTCTGACAGTCAGTTGCGGATGAATTCAGTGCAAATCCTAAACATGTTCTCAGGTGACAGTCAGCAGCGTAATTAATCAACAATCAGTTAATCATTAACATGAATGCAGCAGACCTTGTTCTGTGGCTGGAACAGTATTTCTTTCAGCCCCAACACTTGATGTTCATGATTAAAGTGGTGACATCACACACTTACCTGTCGTAGGATTTCAGACCCAGTAGACTCTGATTAATCTGGTTGGAGGTCCTGAACCTCCTCAGAGTCTCTGTCATGGTCCCGTTGCTGCTAAACTCCCACAATGCTCTCTGCTGCCACCAGGAGCTGTAGTCTGTAGATGCCTCCTCTGGTCTCTACAGGATTAAACAGTGACAGGCTCCAGCTGGTGGAACAACCAGGTACTGCAGCTGGCATACATTAATTTTCTGACATGCGTGAACTTCTGCTGTCTGTCTGCTGCCTGAGTGGTTATTTTATTTTAAATTTGCAGTTCATTAATTGATTATCACTGTGATGGACTGGTTACCTGTCCAGGTGAACCTGCCTTCATCCTGAGTCAGCTGGGATAGGCTCCACCCCCCACGACCCCAGTGAGGGTTAAGGTGTAGAGATGATGGATGGATGGATAGATGATTAACCCATCATCAACATCCCCAGTGAATACTTAAGAAAATGATACAGAGAGACCCAAAAAACCCAAAACCATAGTTTCCTTGAACAGCATTGGTGGGATAAAAGCTTCTCTTTACCAGGAGAACTTCATCAGAACCAGGCTAGGGTGAGGATGAAGGGGGAGAGAACAGGGCAGCAGATGGAGAACAGACAAACATAAGGGAACAATAAACTGTTTGGAGGTTAGTGAGGCCAGAAACTGCAGATCGGAGATGTGTAGCTCGAGAGGAGCCCAGTGCATCATGGGAGTCCCC